ATCCGTGTCCACCACATTTTTGTCCTTCTCCTCTTCTTCTTCCTCTCTCTCATCATTAACTAATCAACTAAGATCTAGTAGTCCTGCCTACTATGCATGGATGTGGGGATCTACCGCAGCAAAGTCTGTCTACCAAACCCCCAGCAAAAACTCACTCTTCCTCCCCTGTTACCCGGAGGACTGCAGCCCTCCACCATCCACACAGAGACAGGAAGTTCAACAAAGGATGCTGGAAAAATCTGGCTACCAACATGTAAAGGATGTTGATACTTATCTCTTACCATACACAAAAATCCAGCAACAGGGATCTAAAGACAAGCGTGAAATTTTTATAACTGAACCTGTTGTATTAGGTGCTTTCCCACAACTGGGGAAAAGCACCACGGCCAGGGCATCTTTGGATTATGATTGCAGAGAGTTAGAGTCCATTCTTGTTGAGTCGCCTTGCATGATCTTCAGTGGCAGCAGAAGCAGGAAGCCGAGAGCCCATGCCTTCCACAGCAGGCATGAAACAGAGGATAAGCTGCAGGTGGGCCAGGCTTTTTACTTTCCAAGCCCACCTCCAGGGACATTCCTCTCTTCAGGGCTGTACCACCTGACCTCCCAAAACACTGCCATTTACTGCGCAGCACGGATTCAAGTGGTCGAGATCATTGTGGGCATTTCTTATTCAGAGCATATACTTTTATTAGATTTAATTAATGTATGCTAATGAAGACATTAAGAAAGAGTAAGAAATGTGTTACAGCATGATGGATGAAGTTAGAGAATACCTAAACCACTCTACGGCAGTGATTTTTTTTATAAAATAGGTAAGATAGATAAATTCTTGGAAAAAATAAATCTTCTAAAAGTGTAAAGCTCCAGAACCAGATGGTTTTACCAATGAATTATTTCTAAATAAGACTAGCTTACCTCTCACATATTCAAGTATCAAAAAAAAAAAAAGAGAATGATCTTTGAACACATTTAATAATGCCAGCAGAACCCTTATAATGAAATTAAGAGCATTACAAAAAAAATTAAGGTCCAAGGCTCTCTCATTAAAAAAAGACACATGAAGATTCACACACACATGCATGCATACACACAGAGACAGAGGAGAGAAAGAGATGGAGAGAGATATCTCTAAATGTTTTCAGACATTCATTCCATGAAAACATGAAAATAAAATATTCCAAGAAAAATGAAGTTTCAGTGAAACATTGGATTGATCCTTGGAAATCATTACTATAGTTTCATAGTTTAGAGATGAAAATTGCAATGTCATGACCACACCAGGGGAGTAAAAAGCATTTGATGAAACTCATCATCCAGTCCTAAGAGAAATATGAGCACGTTATGACAGACAATCAGGCATCCTACTTCGATTCCTATAGTTATCTGAAGGTCTGTGAGATGAGAATGTAGCTGCTTGGTTCTCTGTGAGTCGGCGCTGCACAGCGGGCTCTCCACTGTGATGAGACAGGGGGACCAGAGGTGAGAGGAGGAAATGGACTCTCGCTGTTTGTGGAGGCTGTGGCCTTCTCAGAGAAAATCCCCAACTATTTGCTGATGGAATTAGACTGTTAAGTAAATTTAACAAGGAGATTGGATACAGGCTTGGAAACATTACTGTTTATAACTGTGCTTCTCATTTTTTTTTAAATGATTTTGTTTATATTCGGGTCTCTTAATATGGCATAACTCATTTGCTTTTTTTGATGATCTAGCGCCCTCCAAACAAGTCCTTAGGAAGAAATTTAAGCAGAGGTTCCTGCAGAGGGGAAACCTAACTGGAAGAATTGAAGGCACTGCCAAAGGATGTTGTACACCATGGGTGGGGCAGATGAGAAGATGTGCTGATATAAACGGAGTCAGAGAATTCAGCAATTTGACTATGAAACTTACATAGAAACGCAAAGAATCAAGAACAATGAAAGTGGTCTTGAAATAAAGTGCAAAAGTAGAAAATTTACACCACTAGACACCAAGACTCACCATAAAGCTATAGGCGACAGTGCTCAATAGAGTAAAGAAAGCTGAGCATTAGGATGAAGAGCGCAGAATCCAGACAGGAGCACAAAGATAGGCCTGTAAAACCACCTGACTCATGAACAGCACTTTTCTCCTGATGTCACGTGTATCTGCTGAACCAAATGTGCAAAATGGTACTTCCTTTGAAGAAAATGCACACAGCACTCTTTACCAGCACTTCTCTGCGGAATGCCTGTGTCTATGAAACTGAGTGACGTGGACTAGGTAAAGTCAGACCCTGTGGGGATCAGTCCTTGCTCTGTGGCAACGTGGTCTGGGGGAGTTATTTAACCTCTCTGAGTTTCACTTCCCCCTATAGAACAACAATGCTCACGAGAATGAAATGCAATAGTAAAGGCAAAACTACCACAAAGTTTTAGGTGTCCATCTGGAGAGATGGACAGATGTACCCCTGGAGCTGTAGACAATGTCTGGGTTGTTATTTTTATAATGTATGCCACTTAAAGTCACAATTGTTTCCTTTTCATTTATTATAAAGAATTCACGCGTGCTCCTAAAAGATTATCAATTTTGTGTAGATACTTCGGTGTCACCCTGCACACTGGCTATTGATTAACTAAAACATATACAGTGCCTCTTCTACATTATTAATTAGGGAGAAGATGAAAAGAGATTACTCGGGAGACAGTGTGAAATAGTCAATGCTGTCAATCAATGCAGAAGCTGTAGCTAGTCCACAAAGAATCGAGAAATGTTCGCTGCTGTTAATCCTTTTGATGTAGACCCTCTCTGGGGTCACAGCACAGTAAGCCTAGACTCTCAAGACAGTGGAGAAAATGGACTGAAGCTAATGCTAGGTCCAAACTCACCTGAAGCTGACCGCCTATAACTTCATGCCTAGGATCTGCCTAGAATGTTCCTACTCACGACATAGCCTGGGAAATTATTACTCATGTCTTTACCATTGCGTACTCATCCCATCAAAGCTTCTGCTCCTGGTTAGGGCTTTTATTGCTGTGAGAAAATATCATGACCAAGAGCAACCTCGTAGGAAAGGGGTTATCTCACTTAAACTTCCGGATAACAGCCCATCGCTGATATACATCAGGACAGTGGTTCCAGGAGGGCAGGAACCTAGAGACGGGAACTGCAGCAGAGGCCATGAAAAAAGCTGGGTACTAGCTTGCTCCCCATGGCTTGTGCAGCCTCCGTTCTTAGACCACCTATGACCATCTGCTTGGGGCTGAAACCATCCACAGTGGACTGGTCTCCCACATCAATCATTAATTAAGAAAAGACCCCCATAGGCTTATCTAAAAGCTAATCTTATGAAGCCATTTTCTCAAATGTGGTTACCTCGACTCAGAGAGCCTCAGATAACGCCAGCTTGTGTCAAGTTAGCAAAAAAACTAATAAGGAAAACCTCCCAACATGCATGGAGGTCTGTGACGAGCATCAGAGATGAACTCTTCCCTTTGTGCGTATGTATGTGTGTATGTGTGTATGTGTGTGTGTGCGCACGCGTGTGATCTATACCAATGTCCCAGAAAAACTGGCCTCACTTATAGCCTCCCCTGTTCTCATGGCTCTGGTGGGCAAACGCTGTTAGAGAACATCTCCCGACTGGTTGAGGTCCTACAAGAAAAGGGCACACATCTACTCACTTTCCCTCAAGCTACACGAAGGACAGCGGCACTCAATAAATGTTCACTGGGTAGCATTAAGTATTCACAGATGGATCTGTTAAACGATTCACGTCATGAATTTTTTAGAAATGAAAACAACAGCATCTAGTTAGATCCCATCCTTTTGAGACATTCTTTGCTTCTTATGCCCTATACCCTACTTTTTGAGTATTCCAACACCAGCCTCAGCATCTGCCTTCAGGCTGCTGGCCGTGGTGCTGGTGAGTCTGAAGGAATGCAGGAATGGAGGTGAAACCACACCGGCAGCCTGTTCCGATTTAAAAATCTGAGCATGTTCTGCGGGGGGAATAAATAAGAGCAGGCTTTTATTTAATTGGCAGTACGTGTGTGTGTGTGTGTGTGTGTGTGTGTGTGTGTGTGTGTGTGTTTATGGATATATATAGGTATTGCCAACATTTAAGTCATATTTATACATTTATATGAATACATTAATATATTTGTACATATATATACATAATAATATATATACATTAATATGAATATATTAATTAAATATACCAGGAGATCTATTTCATTTTTATAATAGTTGACAACGTACACCCAGAATGGGAGCATGATGGGAGTTATTCACAGAATGTGGATGCATGGCACAGAAGCCTGGTAAAGTCTACAAACAGGGATCATGTTGGTTTCTCAAAAACACAATATAGTTCTAAAAAGTTTCCTCAAGGTCATAAACATGCTGAATTGGTTTTGAAAAAAAAATACCACTATCTGTGCTGAAGTGGAAGAAGCAGCTGTTCTTCCAGCAATGCTAGGCACATTTTGAAGGCTCAAGTAGCATAAATGTCAAGGAGACTTTGGAGATAAGAAGATAAAAATCTATGTCCAGCTGCTTTTTGAAGATAAATAACATGTCTAGCTTTAATGATTTTGAAAAAAAAAAAAACAAAAAACAAAATAGGTCTATAGGAAGAACCCAACAGTGGAAACACAGAAAGAGTGAGAACCAAAATAGTAAGAACAGAGGAGTGGGAAGAGAAAAAGAGTGGGACCATGGAAAGAGGGGAACAGAAAGCATGGGAACAGAAAGAGTGGGGCCAGAGAATGAGTGGGTCTAGAAGAAGAGTAGGAAAAGGAAGGACTGCAAATAGAAAAATAGGAAATAGAAAAAAAGTAGGGAAATAAAAGGAGTGGGAACAGGGAAACAGGGGGAGCAGGAATAGAGAGGGGATGGAGAAGGGGAGGGCGCAGAAAGAGTAGAAACAGGAAAATAGGGGGAACAGGAATAGAGTGGAGACAGAAAGGGGGTAGGAACAGAGAGAGTGAGAACAGGGAAACGGGGGAGCAGGAATAGAGTGGGAACAGAGCACCTACTTGCTCTGATGTTTCGATCCTTGCAGATGTGCATGATACTGTTCTATGGAGTTGAGTGACACGCTGCAGGTGGTACATCTGTAGGTGCGCCGCAGACCTGTGGACGACAGACAGACTTGGGTTAGCTGCACATGGCCATCAGCCCTGACGATGACCATATTTTACAATTTCCACAGGTGCAAGTTCTGGCTATCAGATAAGAATCTTGGTCCCTTGCTCGAAGGCCAGTCCTGCCCCTCTTCCCAGAGCCCAGCCACCGGACTCAGCAGAAGTGAGAATGTGCAGGTGTTTGGATTCAGCCAAGTCATATACACATGGCTTTAGTATCTACAGGGAAATTCAAAATACGCACATGCACACACGCGCACGCACGCACACACACTCATACCCCCCCCACACACACACCACAAACACACAAGCCTGTCTACATCGCAATAAATCTCCAGTTCAGGAGAGATCCACGTCGGTACACATTCCTCCTGCTGTTGCTTCCCTACGAGGTTAGGGTGGGGGAGTTACGCTCTAGTCAGCCTGAAACCTTGTGAGGAGGGGTGAGTCTATGCTAGCTTGTATGGCCTCAGGGAAGTGACTTCTCACACCCCATTGCTTGCTTACAAAACTTCCACACTGCAATCTCAGCCTTGGAGGAACCAAAAGAAACATAGTAAGGACAAACAAAAAACAGACAGAGTTCCAGAGGACAACCTCAGAGCTCCAGGAGGGAGAAGGAAGAACTCTCCCATAGACTTCTTCATGACAAGCAGTAGGCACATCCGCTCTGACCTGGAGACATTGGTGGGAATGTCCCATGTCTGTGGGTGACGGAAGGATTCCTAGAGATTGGAAATTCAGGCCATGAAACCATGCTCTCCATCAAGGCAATGTGAATGGGAGGTGTGGGGAAAGCAGAGAGGTCTCCAGGGTCAGACCCCAGATGATAGGAGCTCAGCTGATCAAGTATAGTGGCATTGTCAGATCATACTTACAGCCTTGATGTGAGGCAAGAGCCAAGCTCAAAGAAAAGAGCCTCAGGGTACGGGCCGGACCTCAAGCAGCCACCCAGGACAACCCCCAACAGCAGTGCTTCTCAACCTCCTGTTGCTGAGACCCTTTAATGCTGCAGCTCCTCATGTTGTGGTGACCCCCCAACCATAAAGTTATTTCATTGCTGCTTCATAACTGTAATTTTGCTACTTTTGTGAATCATACTGTAAATATCTGATATACAGAATATCTGATATGTGACCTGTGAAAGGGTCATTTGACCCCCAAGGGGGTCGCAGCCCACAGCTTGGGAAACCACTGTTTTATAGGTTCTTTTCACTAAGCTATGCACAGGGCCAGGAAATATTTCAAACAAGAACCACATTCTACGCTCTGCTCAAAAATTAGACAGACAGACAGACAGGCAGGCGGTAGGCAGGCGGGCAGACCAAACAGCAATACAACTCCACAGTTCCCTGTTGGGTCTTACTTCTCACACTTTGAAACTGACTCAGTACCTGGAATGGTGGATCACAGGAATGAAAACTAAGTTGTTCCACTAAAAAAAAAAAAAAAAAAAATGCTGAGCTTGCACGGCCTTCCCACTCCCGAAAGATTATCCTGCTCCCCACAGCCAGAGGCTGTAAGTCATCACGGCCAGCATAGAAGTTGTCAGGGTGCTTATCCAGTCCTGATCCATTCTGCTCTTTTATGCATAGAATCAAAATATGAAATCCAGCTTCGGGCAGTAACTCTCTCCAGAGGTCTCCATCAATCTTTTCATAATAAACAGTAACTGCTGTGTGTGAGTCCTCCTCAGAGTTCACACTAATCAAAGGGCTCCTCATAAAAAAAAAAAAAAAAATGGAGGTTCAGTTTGGCAATAGACATAAATATTTATGCTTAAAACTGGGAACTTCTAAGAACATCAACAAATAAAAAAATATTCTGATCCACTACTTTCCATAAGAATTCTCGTGCTCTGCAGCCAAACCAAGGCACAGAAAGAAAACTTCTGGTACCTTATTGCAATGCAAATGACAAGGCTGAAAAACTGAAAGGCAGTGGGCATAAACAGGAACAAAGGCAGTGGGGAAGAGGGAACCTCCCTCACCCCTCCATAAGACATGGCCTTCTCGGTTGGAACTGCGGGCTTTATTAATACTGAGCTGAAATCCTAACTACTTTGGAATTATATGGCTCTTTTCCCTCAGGGAACTACAGAATATAATTATTAAATCAAAAATGTCAACTTCCTTACTGAATCCATTTCAGCACAATAGCACATTAGCAGTATTCCAAAGCCCGGGCAGCTCGTAGGGTGGTGTGGGAACGAGACAGAGGGTTTCTGACTTGGAGCTTCCGGGAGGAGCTTCATGAAAATGTGTCACATTGGTGTTTACATTTCCCAGCACGGGTGTTTATAATAACAGGTAGGTCTGTAGAGATTAGCAGAAGGTGACCCCTCAATGTGTCTCTTCAAGTCTAGTAAAACTAGAGTCCACATTGCTTCTGCTATATTCAATCAATGTTAGAGAAACAGTACTTGGCCTATATCAGGGTGCCAGGTATTTTGCCAAATGCCAAGAATATTGGAAATTATGAGACACCGTATGTTTTCTTATGGAGCTGGTTGGGGAGAACGGTGAACAATGAATGAGTTAAGGCTCCTTGAGATCTGGGCACAGAGAGGGCACTCCTAGTCCTCAAGGGAGGCCACTTTTGCACTGGACAGGAGTAAACGGAGGCTCACGAGTGGTCAAAGTGCCGAGAGTAAATGAGGGTGCAGTGCTCCACCCTAAATGTGCTTCACTAACCTCCTCTCAAGGCTTCGGGAGCATCGTGCACGAGGAGGCAGAGAAGGAATGGCCTTGTCAGGGGTCGGGAAGATGTAGATGAAACACTGTCTTCTGGACACGGGGCTGTTGCACGCCTGAACTCAGTGCACCTGTGGCTGCCTGAATAAGACCTGAAGAGTATCCAGCATTTATTGGAGTGTGTCTCAAGGCCCCACCCATGGATGAGGAGTTATTGACAGCTAAAATCTGCTAGGGAAGAAAGAATCCGTTTTATTTGGGGATTTGGCCCCTGATAGGTTGGCCTTGGTCCAGTGTGTGATTCCACACTGGGGCCGGTATGGTCATCACTAATTGGACTCAGTGGGAAGTCTGATGAAAACAGAGGATGGTTTCAGGTAGCTCGTAGAGTTTTATGGAAGAGTTGGGAGAAGGATTAGAGGAACCCAGAGGAGACAAGAATTGCACAAGAAAACCAACAGAGTCAACTAACCGAGGACTGCAGGGGCTCACAGACACTGAACCACCAACAAAAGAGCATGCAGTGACTGGACCTAGGTCCCTTACACACATGTAACTGATGGGCAGCTTGGTCTTCTTTATGCGGGTCCCCTAGCAATTAGAGTGGGGGATGTCTCTGTCATGGACTCTGTTTCCTGATTCTGTATCACTTTCCCCTAGCTGGGCTGCCTTGTCTGGTCTCAGTGGAAGAGGATGAGCTAAGTCTTGATGCTACCTGATGTGCTGGGGTAGACGTGTGTGTGTGTGTGTGTGTGTGTGGTGCTCCCCTTTTCTGAAGGGAAGGAGGGGAAAGAAAGGGGAATGAGTGTGGGAGAGAGAGACCAGGAGAGGAGGAGAAGGGGGATCTGCAATAGGGATGTAAAGCGAATATAAAAAGAATGCATTTACAATGAAATGTAATTTTATGTCTAAGAAATAAAACAAAGGATGGTGGTATGTCAGCCAAGTAATGCTGGGTAAGGAACTGTCCAGGGAGAGGAAAGAGCACATGGAGGGCAGAGGAAGAAAGGGGTCATAGTAAAAAGTAGTAAAAAAGTAGTTTTTAAAAAAAGGAAAATGAAAAGATGAATTTTAAAAGCCAAACGGCCTTGAATCCAGAAGTCAACACACACTAGTGTACCATTTAAGACCCAAGGAAGACCAAATATATGACCATAAACAAAACCTGGCTACACAGTATGCCTGCAAACTTGAACTGCTGCAGAAAGGTCTCAAGGTGAGGGAAAACAGAAGCAAATCAAACAAAAAGCCCACACCACGTTGAAATTGAGATCCATTGGCAAACACAGCAACATGAACATGAGAAAAGATGAACAGGACACCAGCCAGATGATACCAGGCTTGACTGCCACTGTGTGGGTGGGGTCCAGAACTCACATGTGGAACACTGTCTTCTGATCTCAAATGTGCACTGTGATATGCACACATCACACATCACACATCACACACACACATCACAAATAAAATTTAAAATGCAAAAAGAGAAAACTAAGAAAATAATGAGCATATGGGCATTCATCTTTTAAAATTACTCTTAATTTACCCAAAGGCAACTAATAGCTTGCATGTTATATTTGAGGATGGAGTTCAAGCAAAGAATGAGAGAGCACAGAAAAACACCATTAAAGAATCATTTTATTTTATATGAAACAATGCAATTATAAATCTAAAATGGCAGTGGAAATTTAAAGAAGTGATAATTCCACACGCTCTCTTACAGTAATTACTAAACAAATGTAAAGAGCTAAGGGCAGGAAGATAACGCAGAATGGTGAGTGTTTCTTCCCACAGTGAGGGGGAAGAACAATCAGAAAAGAAAACATGGAACTGTGGGAAAATGATGTTCAGTCAGTACACCACACACACACACACACACACACACACACACACTCACTCACTCACAACCACACACACACTCATTCACAACCACACACATATCCCCCAAAATACACATACCACCCTCTCACACACATCTGCATGGGAAAATAAAAATAGAAAAGAGATGGAACACGTAGAAGACAAATAGCAAAGTGATAAAACTAAATTCAATCGCATTAATAATCACATTAAATACAGAGAGGATTTTAAAAGTCCCCAAATGTTGAAATTGTCAGAGTGGATAAAAACCAAGACTCAAATATATAAAATAGATACACACGCTCATTCAAAGGCAGACTTTGTGGCCTTAGAGGCTAGAACTAAAGGGGTTAGATTAGAATGGGAAGTTAAGGGATTGTTAATGCTTCTGCTCATGTCTAAACAGACTTCATAGCAAGGCATTTCCCAGACATGATGA